AACTCGTTTTTTTTAAATGCTGTGTCCTAGGCGTTAACCAAAGGCGTTTTGAAAAAACAAGTCACGGTATTATGGAACAAAAAAATAAAATATAATCATCATCGTGGCATCTACCTGATTTCAATAACAACATACAAGTTATTAATTATACGCTTCGGTGGCAAAGTCCAAGCATCCAAAATTATTGACTCTAATTAAGTGTTAAATCTCTGGTAGTATATTTTATTTCAAATTTCAAATCATTTTCGACTATATTTTTTGTTAACATTCTTGATTTACTGAATTTGTTTTGAATATCAAAATGTTGCTCATTTGTACAGTTTAACCTCGCTTAACGCAAAATGAAATATAAGAAAAATGACTCGCTTAAGGAGCGACGTTTCGAATACGAGTGTCGATGAGAAGTCCTCGGATTGCGCGCCAACTATATCATTTTAAAAACACATATTATGTGTATTTTTGAATATGTATATACGAGTAATAATCCGGAAATTTTATATAAATATAAAGTTTTTTGAAAAAAATATAAGTTGCTCTTCCATCTCAAAACAACTTCTATGACAATAACAACAACCTTCAAAAAGAATAAAAAAATGAGAATATTAACAACTTTATTAAGGTTTAAGCCATAAAAGTAAAAACAAAAATGACACGTGCGGATATTACCGACAAATTGGTTTTACTTTAAATCTAATTCATTAATCAGTCGAGTTTCAATGCATTTCTATTGCTAATTGTGCGAATATCTAATCTACATTTCCATTCAAAACACATCGATTCGCAGTTATTTCAACATGCAATTATATAATGGAACGGTGAATATCATTGTCGCTCGTTTTTTTTTACAATGTAGTCGCTATTTTTTTACATTTGCACAGAGACTTATAAACTTATAAAACACTCGAAAGGCAGCTTTATCATTAATATACATTGTTTGACGTAATATTTTAATATACATATTGTTCGAATATATTAACTCAATCATTAAAATTTTAAATATAGAAATGTAATCATTGAAAAAAATGTGATTGTATCATTAAAAATATGTTCAATCTCTAAGAGACAACATCTAGAAAAATGAATATAAATACATTAAAGCATTGTAAAAACCTTCTTCAAACTTTACTTAAAAGAGATTATATGTTTTATTTCACTACGTAATCTAAACGTTTCTCTAAGTATTATATCACAGCTTCAGAACGGTCTAACAAAATGTTTGTTTTGTCCAAAAGCAAGAGATTACACTAACTCATATTTGAATTTTCCCCCAATTTTAATGACAGTACTACCAATACTTGGCGCCATGCATTACAATTTATCAAATATGTTGACTCAGTCTCCAGTTCTCCCTTAATCTTATCTTTTAAAAAATATAATAAAATATATATCAAGAATGTAATCATAATACCTTGCCCAGCGCGCCTTCAATTAGTCCGAATTTTCGACAGTTTGAAAATTTAAAAACAAACTAAATTTTAATTGAGCAAAAAAAAAGATAGTTATTTTCCCTTTATATAGTCTTTTAGTGCGATTTTAAAGACCTCGATTAGTCTGATTTCAAACAGTCCGGCATATTAGGGGAACCTATATTGAATTCGGATTGTTCGAAGCCTCTCTATACGAGGTATTATTCAAGAAAAATAAGCAAAATTTAGAAATATATAATAAAAATACAAATATTATTATTACGTATATTTGTTTACAATAAACACTCAATTTACGACTAAATAAATTAATGTTGATTTATAAACTTCGTATAACACAATCCATACATGTTAGTTGTTTGATCTCAAACAAAACTGAATGAAATCAGCGAAATTCTGATAACTTGCACCCACGCAAATAACAATTTTATATTTGTTTATAAGCGAAGGCATCGAACGTGTAGACCATAAATAAAATATCAGAGTGTGTTTATAAAATTTCTCCTTTCTTTAGAATCCAATTACCCTCAACGTGCTCCTGCTAGAGGCACGTTTAGGAAAGTAAATATACAAATCCACGTATTTTTTTATCTCCCAGACTTAAATTGTAAATACGTCTGGAGTCATTGAATTCAAACATTTATTCCTATATTTGGAATGTTTTTAGTGAAAGATTTATTTCGAAACATCCAAACGCATGAATTATATATTCGATGATCATCAAACACTTTTCGTTTTTGATTTATTTACATTTGATATTCGTAAATAATCGCAAAGTAGTGAAGAGTAAACGTTTATCGACCTCGGAAGCGAAAACAAATATTGATCAAAGGAAAATAAAATCAATGTTAAATCAAATTTGAATATTCATTTTATTTAAAATATGTATGTACACATTAGTGCAGGGTTATGTATAATAAACTTCAGTAGAAATCTACACACAAGAATTAATTAGTTGGTTTAATATATCAGATTCAATGCATTTAATAGGCGAAGGCTTTTCAATGATACACTTTATAAATTAGCAAAAAAAACATCTTATTTATGAATAAGAAGTTTGTTTCATATTAATACAGTAATTTTTACTTATAACTGAATTCAATATCGTTCACCAATTAAAATTGTCTACTATAAAATTAGAAAACTGTTCAACATAATATTTTTGTGCAAAAACCATACTATACTATATTAAATGCATTACAGACAAAACAAAACAAGCAAATGTCCCATTTATACATGTTTTTCTTTTTCGGTTAACTTTCTACAAACACTTTTACCTGGTCTTCGGAGAACGACCTTTTTGTAGAGAAAAAAAGTAGATCTTTTTACTTTCTTAACAATAGTAGAGGTGGACAAAGCATGCAGCTTGCATTTCACACGCTTTGAATACAACTTAAATAATGCAAAAAAAAAATCTGTCGTGTATAGACAACCTTCAAACCAAAAATCTGTTAGAATACAAGCAAACGCGAGAACCCCGTAAACCAAGCCTTAAAAAGCTCTCACCTTTTCTTCGATTACGTAATCGACATTTAATAATTTCCTGATTACATATTTAATATTAAATATATGTTTTTTCTTGATTAAAAGAACGAAATATAATTGTATTTGATAATAATTATATAACGTTTACGAGTTAGTGAAAGGTAAGTAAATAATTTTAGGATTGGTGAAAATAATGTGCAATTTTTTAAATAACATTTACCAAATTTTGATAGAAATGGTATTAACATAATTTATTAAAGAAAAATTGCAAATACAAATATTTTCGTATTGAAATAGCAATTCACGTATATTAACGTTTAATATACATGATAATTTGCAAACGATTAAGAAAGTTTTACAAATCTTAGTACCGTTTCATTATTTTGTAAATGTGACAATTTTCGTATTTATTTATTTTTTGTCTGTTGTCGTTACAAATAATCTAAATGCTAAATATTTTCGTCAACGGTGACGCTCCGTTATTTGTGTTCCTTTTTTGTTTTGGTTCGGCTAGTTAACATTTAAAATGTTTCAAATAATTTATAGCAAATTCTTTAACAATTTATTATGGAGGATGTAGGCTCTATTCACCTCTATCCACTGAGCCAGGCCAGGCGTTCATACCGTGAATTAATAAATGTATAAATAGCTTTAACTGTAATCCGTCTGTTATATTTCCATTTCAAATATTTATTTAATGTCTGTTTGAACTAAGAAAATGCAACTAAATAACCACGGTGCGCTTTAATTGGAACCAGTTCTCTAAACTCATTTTTCTTCCTGTAATCATTTCAAATAAATGTTATGCAAAGTATTTGAAAACTTAGTAATTGAATGTAAAATATTTAAATAATTCAATTTACACATCAATAATACAATTCAACTCTTTCCAGATTATATGTACCATTACATCCCTCATACTCTTATTTTTTTCGCAAATATCTAATATAAAAATGTGTCCGGAACAGTCCGTAATATTGACAAAACCTATTATCCGCAATGTGCAGAATTGCTGTATTCATACACTATTATAATGATAAAAAGTCATATTTAAAATAAAAAAAACAAATATTTCATCTTCAATTAAATTTTATTTCAAATATCTATACGATTCTGCGAAAATCAATTAATGAAATTATAAATTATTCATATAAGAAAAGTTTCAACCTTGTTACGCGTGTAACTCATCTATATTTGAAATGATATTAGAAAATATAATAATTCTAATAAAAAATATATTTATTTGACCTTAAACTATTAAATATATTTTGCAAAGTTATGAAATGATCTGTGACGTCTTTGTTATTTTTTTTAAATTATGTTGTAATATTCTACAAGAAATATCAATATATAGCAGTTCTGAATCTAAATTCTTTGAAAGTAGAAACGAAACTCATTGTTTATTTGTAATTAATGATTTATAGGAAATTAAAGTACGAAAAGGAAGCATTTAAAAGCATATTTAAATTCTATTTTTGGATAACCATTTTAATGACTGAATATTTTTTTGCTATTGTTAAATAGTTTCTTATAATTAACAGAAATGGAATAATTTGAAGGGAAATGATGGGTAAATTGTAAATAGAATTAATTGATGTTTATAAAATCAAAACAATCGATACTTATTTTTTTTAATCGTTTCATTTCTATTTACTAAAACTGAATGAGTACTTGAATTGCATTGAAGTTGGGAAATCATAAATAGATTTGTTTGTTGTTTCAAATAAAAACTGTCGGTACATATATTTTGCTTTCGTTAATCATGTGAATTCGAATAATTACAATGAAAGAAATGTTTGGATTTCATTGAAGTTGAGAAATTATAAATAGACTAGGTTGTTGCAATAATTAGCTTTGTCAAATAAAAACTCTATGTTGGAAAGAATAAAAAGAGGTGAATTTAATTGGAACTCCGAGCTTGTGTACATTTTCGTTTTTGTCTGTACATTCTAGTATAATTTCCGAGAAAATATGTACGAGACTTAATTGTTATTCCTTGTGGAATGTTTCAAATGTCCTGTGGAAGTTGGAAGGTTTTTGTTGATGAAATAATGTTTTTTTTGTTGTTATTATTAAATATGTTATACTTACACTTGCTGTATGTGTGATTCGTTTGTATCTTTTTTAATCCAATTAGTGATTGGCCTCTTCCTCGTATTCTATCAACTGTATAACTGAATCCGAAATAAATAATACACACCGATTCGGAAAATGTTCCAACGTATGTAACATATACGAGATAGATATGTATGTGTGTATATATATATATCTATATAATGTAAAGTCGGTCTATGGATTTAATGTCGGAATATAAAAGAAAAAATGTGAAAACTTGTTTCAAGTTTGTAGGACTAGGAGAGTGGTTGTTGGGTATCGCGAGAGAGGAGAGCTCGATCACTGAGACTGAGACGACGAAAAGCGACCGCTTCTAACCACTCTTTGTGAACAACTGTCGACCAGAAATGCGCCGCGTCCTGACTACTACTATGAGCATGAGGAGGCTCTGGAAAAACGCGCACACGTACACACGTATCTATCTATCTATGTGTACTGGCTATGAATGTATGGATGTATGCATTGATGTTGTTGGTTGGCCTGTTTTGTTGCCTGTTACTTGTTGCCTTTAGCCTGTTGCCCGTTGCCCGTTTGCTGCCCGTTCGTTTCTCTTTCTTTCGCCACGGCACGAAATATAAAGAACACTTAGATACACTCACTATATGAAACCAATAAAGAATCGGTTAATATGTTCACCTGAGTCATCGAGATTGACTCGAACGCTCGATCCTGCACATGCAGAAAACCAATGGTGGTAGGTGTACCAAGAGTACCATCGACATGTCTCTGTCCCCCGAATCCGGCGGCTAGTTTGTACCACCGCAAAGAGAAGGGAAACTCGTTTAATTACATTATTAAAAATTATAATACCCGCCGCATAGTTTTAAAAAAAATTCTCGCGCACACACATTTTTTTTTGTTCACTTATTTTTCTTTAGTCATTGAGTTTGAATATTCAACGGTGCTCATAAACGCATATGGCCGAACCGACTTGATATTATGCAACGATACTCTCTATCAGATCACACATCCTGCCCCACAATTATAACGCACACGAACAATGACTGTTAACGAAAGAAAAAAACAATAAATATACAAACATATAAACATTTAGTGACAGGTTACTACGCATCTATCTACGAACTTCGCCAATTCTACGTCGCAAACAATTAAAAAAAAAGACATACGTAATTGCTGGTCAAAGTGCTAGAAGTGAAATGTTAGGAATTATATTATAGTAAAAGATTTTTACAAATTGACAAAATATTCCAATTATTATTGTGGTTATTTTGCGAGTAACAATTTATAAAGAATATCTTACTTTTAAACTGAACCTATCGATTTCAAATTAAATATAGTTTTATGAAAACAAATGAAACATGTTTATTTATTTGTTATTTTCTAAGTATAACAAAATAAACATGTTCTTAATATTGTCGAATTATTTTGATTATTCTCAATGATTACTTTACGAGTAACTTAAAACAAAACAGGTGCCATCTTATTTAATTATTTTTTAATTGGTTACAAATCTACTATTAATTGTTAATAACAACTAAAACAACTTTAGTTATTAATAGTAAATGTCGTAAAAGAAGCATTACTATTTTATTTTTGCGCCATTTATTTGTGTTAAGTATATGTCAGTTTTCTGTCCATTCTCAAATAAAACTGAAACACAAATACGAAGTTGCTTTGCACAAAATTTTTATATAATTAAGTAAAATAAAAACTTTCTTATGCAAAAGTATGCAAACAGTGTGGACAATAATAAAATAAATATTTATAACAATAAAATTTAATTGTCTCAACAGGTGTAAGAAAATAATAATACTCGAAGAATATATCGTGCATATGTAAATTAATTTGTTTCTTCGGTTTAATTTTAAATAATCGAATAGAAAGAAAAAAATAAAACTATTCTTTATATTAAATTTGTGCTATATAATTTTAATAATGTTTTTATTTGCAAATAATAAGGAAATGACACTAAATTGTTAACAAAGTTTTAGAAAAGAGTCATGAAAAATGTTGGCATTAGTTCAGATTAATATATATATATATATATAAGACATGCTAACTATCTATCAATAACATAATAGCCACTTGTTGCTACAATAATGTTTAATTAACAATTATGTATAGCAGTTGCTTCTTGATTGATAATCAAAAAGTGGTTTCATTAATCAAACAACATTTGTTTAGAGAGACAAAGTTTTTAGCTTAAAAGCTTATCTTTAAAGTTTAATTATATTTAGCTCCATATTGTACAGTAAATATAGACACTTCCTGGAAAAATTCGTGATATAAGTAAACACCTACCGCAATGTTTCATAGCCTTATCGATTATCAACCTCTTCTTTAGGATGACCTAGTTCGTCGACCAGGATTTTCACGCATAGCGCATACAGCAATCGATATTGACACAGAATCCTATTATATATAGACTTCAGTCTTTAGTCCTAAAGCAATGCCCGTATACAAAATGTCAATGTTTTATATTGTATTTTCAAATTTGGTTATTAAGATCTAAAAAAAATTTTTACAAATTTATTTCATTAAGTGAAACTTGGATTTCAGGGGCAAAACAATATTATAATAAGCTTTCTTTCAAACAAAAAATCACGGTTTAAAGTAACTGTATTTAACTATAACATTTCTTCCTAAATCAGGATGATTTTCAATAAAAAAACGATTTGAATATAATTTTTTTTGTTACATTTTTTCGAAATAAACTTCTTCATTTCATATGTATTTTCTTTGTCTTCAAACCTTGAAAGTAGATTTTCCAAATGTTCCAAACGATCATCTTCTGCATTCAAAGATTCTGTTTATCAACATTTACTATTGATTGAGTTATCTGGATAAATTAATTTATAATTTCTTTGGTGTTATTTTCTTCATCCAATACAACTTCTGGCCATATTTTGCGCTAATTTCGCATTAGCATTTCTTAGTAATTTATTTTCAAGAACTATCAATGTTTTAGGACAATTTTGGATTTCGTTATCAAAGGTATGACTGTATTTATTTTACATTTTTTTTTACAATAGACCTAATATGTCATATTTTAAATATAACTCCATATTTCTTAATTTGACAAAATTATAATATAAATGTCTAGACTTCATGTCGTCGATAAACAGAAACAATAATTTGTGTTTAGAATATTTATCGGTCAAGTTAATAGATAGTTATTAATGATATATTTATCAAATATTAAAAAAGGAGCTATTTCGGGTACATTCATATATTAACATAAAATAAAAATTCCGATGTTTCAGATGTTCCTCAAGGTTGTATGTAATAGGTTTTATCATTTAACATTGTTTTATACCAAAGACAAATAAATCATGAACAAAACTACACCAAATTATGATTAATTTCTTCTGATTGTGAAGACAAGATTTATAAAATTATTTATCATTTATTCATTGGATACTGCATGAATGAATTTATGGGTTATGTTACAATAGATTGCAATGATCCGCAATTGTAATAAGGAGAGCAATTTCAATTACATAGAATTAACAACTCGATTGAAATCCATTAAAAAATAATTTATCTAAACTCGGCTGTACTATGATTTTAAATTGCATAAAAAATGTTCGAGATAACCACGTTGAACTAGTCCGGAAATAATAATGATTAATGAATCTTTAACTAAGGCCACCATCTGTCCAATATTAAAAATAAACACAAAAGAACACGAATAATTGAATTTAAATCAAACTAGTTTATTAGATTATAAGAATTATTCAATAACAAACAAACGCTTCTATTATTTCGTAAAATAATGTTTGTGTTTAATTTATTATCTCTTACAAAAACTGTATGAAAAACGGATAAATGAACAAATTGCAAAAAAAAATTATTAGGTTATTAGTATAGTAGTATAATAGAGTTATAATTGCTACCTAACAAACTAAATGGACACACATTTTAAATTGCATCAAATACATTCTCAAATTAACAATTAACATTAGTTGAAACTATATCAAATGTATATATCTGTTTTACATATTATAGAAATACACATTGGCTATTGAACTTCATTTATATCAAAAATTTAAAGTTATTTATATTGTAAATAAGTTCTAACTAAAAAAGGAAGAAAATATTTGTTATACCAATATCGATTTTCAGGAAGACACAATACCACGAGACAAGAAAATCGAGTAGTGAATTCTATAACTTAGAATCTGTAAGAAATACAAATATTTATCATTATTTTTATAACACCTCACTCAATAGGTTCGTAGGATGACTAATGAAAGTAATCAATGAATAAAATTCCGTGCGCATCCCAAAATACGGAGGCCATAACCTTACCAGCTGACATTTGCGTTTTTGGCTGCTTTCGACGGTTGTCCACTCAGCTGACTCTGACGTGTAAAATCTTTTTTATTTCGCTTGAACAGCTCCAAACAGCGCTCGAAATCATCATCTACTGTGAGCAAACGCCATACCCATGTCAAACAGAGCTTTCTCGTCAAAATGTTCGTGAAAAATGGTGAATACACTGCCTTCTGATATCTTCAGGGTGTCACCTATTTCACGCAATTTCAATTTACGGTCGACCAAAACCGTTTAGTGGATTTTTTTATGTTTTCTGCAACAATTGCCGAATTTGGGCGATCATTCAGTTTCATTTGTGTCTGTACGACCGCGTTTAAAATCAGCAAACCACTTATCTACCATTTGTCTCGACAAAGAAGCCATTGCTTTGCTTGAACGATATTTTTCCCATCAAAAAGCAATATTTTATCAACACACGAAAATCAGATATTTCGATTGTTTTGAAATTTACAAAAGTAGCTTGTGTACTAAACGTCAGATTGCCATGAAATTTTGACAGGCGTCATCTGAAGGTTGTTACTTCCTAAAAATCATATGGATTCGATATAGGTGCCATTTATATGTTATCCTACAAACTTATTGAGTGAGGTGCTGTGTTATACCAAGATTTCCCAAACTATGTTCCGCAGAACATAATAATTGCTAAATAAATAATGAATGTTTTATCTCATTTAAAAAAAATTGATTATGTGTTATTACCTACCCTATAAAATAAACAAAGTGTTCCGAGAAAATTTCTGGATTTACGAAGTGTTCCGTTGCAGAAAATGTTTGGGAAACCCAGTGTTATATAATATGAAATATCTACTTTATATAAACTATAATCATTCTAAATATCATATGAGCAAACGGACTATCAATATTGGTCTATCTAAACAAGCAATTTCAAGAATTAAATAATGAAATAGTCAATTCCGACGATCAAGCAAAATATAAAATTACATATAAATTAAATCCAAAAGAGTAAAACAATGTTAAAAAAAACATGATTTCCTGTATCGAAACATGGGCGTGGCTAGACAGACGCAACTTGATTAGGGTACAAAAAATTGCTATGTTAACAATGAGCCAACAGACATCCATTTGCATATTCGTACCTCTTTTAACTTAACAAAGAGGCTTAATCCGCTT